AAAGCGTTAATGCATGTAAACTTAAATTTTTATTATGTTAACAAACATAACAAGGGGAACAACTCTTCAAAGCTTAATAAGATTATAAAAATAACTTAGTTAATATTTACCAGTAAAAATTAAATTACACAAAAGTAGTACTAGAATTTTCTTTTAAATCTCCTATTGATTTTACAGGACCTTTATTATTTAAATAACAATCATACAAAAAAAAAAAATATTTTAATAAAAACTATGACAAAAAGTTACCTGTTCTCCCAAACCTATCTATTGTCATTCCCAGTATGAAATACAAACTGCAGCAAAATCTTTGCTGATTTAAGACCTGAATATGTATATGAGTAAATCTGCAGTATCAAAAATAGAAATAATCAATCCCGCAATCGAACAGGGAAAAAAAGATAAACAAACCTCTTGTCTTCCTAATGTTATAAAACTTTAATCTAGCTACACAAACAAGCTTATCTCGTACTGTCAAACTAAAACACAATTGACACATCACAACCTGTCCAGCGCCAGTGAATGATACCTACACCTCGACCGAAAATATTCTAACCTTAATTTATTATACATTAATGTGATTACCAAAATTACGCTAGGTTTTTTATCAATAACTTATTTGGACAAAGCGGGGAATCATGGTAAAGCTGAACTATAATTGATGCAATCAGTATTGTCCGAAGCCAATGACAATTATACATTTATTTATTCCGGACGCCTGGAAGCTTTAAATCAACATTGATTATGCATTAATATGATTATGTCAAGGGATTATGAAATCAATTTGAGCCGTGTCATGACAAAACCAACATAGTGGTTTTGCAACGAGCATGGATCTAGACCAGCCTGCGCATCCGCGCAGTCTGATCAGGATCCATGCTGTTCGCTATCAGTTTCTCTACTTGTAATAGGGTTTGTAAGCGAACAGCATGGATTCTGATCAGACTGCGCGGATGCGAAGGCTGGTCTGGATCCATGCTGGTCGCAAACGCATTACGTTGGTTTTGTCATGACAATTTATTGGCTCATTTATATTTGCTATCTTTTGGGTCACGTCAACTTCCAGAGAGCTTAAAAATACCTCTAACTCCAACCATTCTGAACTTAAGTTACAAACTTGTCCTGTTTTAAGACTCAGACCTGTGAATTTGGGAGTTTCGAGTTGTTTCATGTTTTTGCACTCGGACCAGTCTGTCCTTTGGGAGTTTGGAGTAACTGTTGTTTCATTGGCAAAATACATAAATAACCTTTAGCAAGTGACAAGCCATTGCCACCAGTATATGGTAAGGACAGTCTGCACTTCTGTGAAGTAAGATCAGGCTAGTAACACTTCCTATACTTTTGTACATGTATTTTGATATATTGAAATCCCATAATTTTCAAATGGATTGTTCCCAATTAATTAAAAGCTGGACAAATCAATTACATAAATTAAACTGGTTAAGGGATAGATGTGAGTAGCATAAACCTAGGCAGACTGTATGGATGGTTAGCTAGGCTAGCCTGTCTCTATATATACTGTTGGCATAGCAAGCCATTATCACCACTTAAGGCACTCTTAAAGACAAAATAACCACCATTTTTATCAGAGAAAAAAAAACTCGCACAAAATGCACTCATTCTTAAGTACTTCTACAGGAGCTTTGAAATTTAAGAGTTTAATTTTTTCAAAGTTTATTTGTATTTCCTTAAACAAAAAGTAAGTTTGAATGTTTCATGATACTCCAGTGTTCTTCAAATACAGTTCAAAATCATAAACATATCAATTTAAGATCAGTGATCTTGCTCTAGTGCTCAATTACAAAGTTTACTGGTTTATTTTTTATCTGTTTAATGGGAAAAAAAATCAACAAAGAACATTTATATACAATTCTTCTAAGGTCACATATAGCAAATTTTCTAACATTACTGTTTTGGATATATCGACAAATCGACATCTACGCAAAACCATTGAGATTCATTTTTTGAAATAAAACAAAAAATCCTTGGTTCAATCCTTAAACTTAACAAATACAAAAAAAAACCTCATGGAAAAACAACTTAAAAGCAGCTGTAAAGTCTGCAGGAAGTTTAAAGTATGTAATCTTTGAAGTCCTCAATAGAAAAAGGACTACATTAACCTCAAAGATTTGATCTGTTATTAGTCTTATTTTCACAGGTGTTACAGTGTAAAAAGTCATATCTTAGCAAAATATTTGTTTGTTTTTTTGTAAAAAATTATATCAAAGTACCATTATTGAAAATAACAAAGTTTTTAAAGTTCCAATAAAGTATGTGGCAATTGGACATGCACAATTTCATAACCAAACCTTATTTACTCTGGCAATCGGGCATGGGATGGCAAATTATCACTAAAACCGTCTTAAAATACTGGAACTGAATTTAAAAGCATTTGCTACCTTTTCCAGGTTCTATACTGTTGGTTACTCAATTTTCATACTTTGTTATTGAAATTTCTTAAAACTGAATTGACTGGTCCATATTCAAAGATAGGCAAATACATTTCTTTTCCACCCATTTAGCAGGTTAAGGTATATAACCCATTACTGCCTGAGCATTTTGTGTAAAATGGCTGTTTTCATTGAAAAGCCTCCTGTTACAAGTTCAAATTGCTATGAAACTACATACATGTATAGAAAATGCTTCAATACTGATCAAACTAATATGACACACAGGCAGTGCCGCAACCCGAGTATAATGCTATTTGATACCTCAAGAGTTCTACCCGCAGTAATTGCGATAACAATAGCAATTAAAACTCATTTATAATTCATTTAATTCTTTCAAACGTCATGTTTTTATATGTAGTTCTCTGTATAAAACAACTTCAAAATGTTGTCTAAAATCATGAACAAGTAAAATGAGCCGCGTCATGACAAAACCAACATAATGGGTTTGCCACCAGCATGGATCCAGACCAGCCTGCACATCCGCACAGGCTGATCAGGATCCATGCTGTTCGCTTACAAACTCTATAACAAGTAGAGAAACTGATTGCGAACAGCATGGATCCTGATCAGACTGTGCGGATGCGCAGGCTGGTCTGGATCCATGCTGGTCACAAACCCATTATGTTGGTTTTGTCATGACATGGCTCAAATATAAAATTTACACAGCAATGTATACAAAGATCAATAAGTTTTCTTTCAAAATGAAAATAATTTTATTGCATTCGAAATATTTTTAAGTTGCAGGCACTTCCAAATGTCAAGCTTGATTCATCAATACAAAATAAATTGACATGTTTGAAGCCGAAGTGGTCGAAGTTTTCAAATAGTAACTACTTCAAATAATACTCTCTATCAAATATTTTTCTCAGGTAGTCTTTGATAAGTCACATTGTTCAGATATAAATAAACTTCAGCACAGGCATATTATCTATTCTTAAGCCCGAGAAACAATCAGAATTTAATATCAAGAATCGCAAAGAATGCAATGTAAATTATGCATTTCATTTTAAGTTTTCTTTCTTTACATTTTACTTCCATGTCCTTTTTAATGGATTGGTTTACAATGGGCACAGTTTCATTTAGTATTTTAAAATATTGATAAAAATAATAGAAAATGTATCAATTGGATATTTTTATAAAATATTTCTTGAAAAAATGTTGATAGATGTCTAAGTGATTTTGTATGAACATTTGTATGAACATATATACATAATTATAATGAATAATATTTTGTTCTTGAACAATTTATTATCTGCTTTAATTAGTTCATGTAGGATCAAATCATGTTTCTTGATCTTGGCTTGTTGTCAGGTTTGCTACTACATGTAAATATTAATAACATCATTAAATTTTTTCTTATTCAGACCTTACATATTACGGACCAATTCACTTTAAAGTCTCCAGAAAACTAAAGAAATTTTTCTACATATTTTGAAGGAATGTAAATTGTTAATAACTTAATGAGATATAAAGTGGTACACAAAACTTTTACCAAGTATTACCCGATGCTGACGCACAGCTGAGTTGGGTTGCTCTACTATTTTCCAACTAGTTCACCAAAACACTCAAAAAATCTGACATCTAAACACTCAAATATTAAAAGAACTTCAAAGATTATATAAAAAGTAAACACTGTTATTAAAACCTTCATATTTCCATCACCAGTTTATACATTGGCAGACAACACAAACCAAATGATTGGGTATCGAATAAAATATAATGTGTCAAAAAGGTAGATTTGATTAACACTATTTTTTTATAAGAATGTGTTGCTAATAAAAACACTGAAAATCAAAATTCAATTTTTTTTTTGAAAAATGAATTTAAAATGTGATAATGTGTGGCAGCCGCAGATCCAAGAGAAGATCATAGTGATTAAATGTCAAGTTTTTTTTTCTTCTAAAATACCAATGATGCACCTGTGTTAAAATCAATTCTAAATCGATGACCCAGACATCGCAGCTATAAATCAAACACAAACTTATTTACATTTTACAATAAAATATGAAAATGCAGAGTGAGTGACATGGGATATTAACATTTAAAGTGATGGCTAAAGGAATGACTTACAGAAAACCCAAGATTACTTTTTTCCATGATTTAAAACTCTGAGAATGATAATGATAACCATTCTACAATTGCATCTCTGCCATTGGTCAAGTTCAGAAATAAACCAATCAGAAGTTAGGATTACCAGACTGGTCGCCATTTTAAAATTTTATTTTCAAATAGAAATAATTTACTTTTTCTTTTTTCTATTTAATCATCATGCTACTGCCTTATTTAATTAGTATATACATGTACGAAAACAATGTATGAAGACTTTTAATTAGATCAATAATTTTAATGCATGTAAAAATCATTTATGTCAGCGCTAACAAGTTTTATGTTAACGTGGTCAGAGTGATAATATAATAACATCTCATAGGATAAAAGTAATCTTGCGTTTTTATAGCCATGTTTATAAGCCATGACAGCTAACTGATTGGTGAGTGAGGTAAGCAAAAACAAATAATGACATCAAAATGAGGGTATAATTGTGATTCCTACGTTTTCACTGTTTGCCGCCACAGAACCATCTAATGAGAGAACCTGTGAATGAGAAAATGCCGGGTACCAAACTGAACAAAATGATGTCATGACAGATGAATTATTCATTGGCAACACTTAAGTAACTCCATGACTTTTCCAAAAAAAAGTCACGGCTATGCTTGGGTAATAATGTTAATGTATGAAAGCATGAAAAGAGGTAACGCAAAATAATAACATGCAAGTAAACTTATCATTATGCCATAACAATAATTTCTAAACAGAACATTCAATAATTTGGCTTTGCATCATCAAAAGAATAAAAATGATGGGAAAAAAAGAGAATTAAATCTGATAAAATGCAAGAGGGTTAACAAAAAATATACGGTACATGAAGTGCATTGAAAAAAGCGTGGAATATTGCAGTTTCTGTACAGCATTGGTGAAAATGGATCCACATTTTCCTGAGTGTTTGTTTACCCATTAAAAATAACCTTGCAAAAAGGCAGTCATCAGACTTTAAAAAAAAAGTTTTTTACAGATTTTTATTTCACAATAATATGACTTATTTACAATGTATGATTAAAAACAAAAGACTACACATCCTATCAAGATGCCTCTTTTAATCACTTAATAAAGTAAAAATATTAAAATCCGCCTTGTGTCAATTACTTTATGATTGTGACACCATTGTAATATTTACAAATCATCTTTCTCCCACTATCAACTTTGTAAACTGATGGCTTAATGATAAACAGGCCTAACTACTTCAAATATAGATATATTTTTGCAATGCTTTGCCACACAATTTCTAAAATGTAACCTTACTATAAAAATCACTTTAGCAACAATGGTGTTAAATTAACATAAAAATGTCAGACATCTAAACTTATAAAAGGTATAGAATAATAAATATACAGGCATAATGCACTAGTTGAAAAAAAATCTAAAATACTAAGAAACCAAAGTTAAAAGGTTAATGAAAATCTCACATTCAGATATAACAATACTGTTGTATCTACCACTATATAACAATCTTGTTACTTCATTCATGCACCTAATTGACAAAATGTATAATAAATGGAGAGCTAACTAAATCTTTGATTGTGCACACTTTCACGGGTATCAAAGATGAATAATTAATATCTTGGACAGCGGAAATACTCCAGAGAAAGCGTAAGCTCAGAAACATGAACTCAAATATAAATAATATCACAACCTACCAATTATGTGCATGAGTTTAAAGAGTTCTGTAAAGGGAAACTAAAAAAAAAAAAAACAGATATAATCTAGCCATAATGATGAAAATTAAGAGAAATTAAAGCTAAAATCAGGAAAATGTAGAAGTAAGGAAGGACTGCTACAATTTCAAAGCATGTATTGGAATTCAGTTCTTTTTGAGAACCAGACAATCATAAAATCATTTGATTGGTTAATTTAAAAATACAATTTTCAAATTCAACCAATCAAATAACTTTTTATAATGGACTGGTTTTCAAAACCATTTCTTAAGAAGTTTTGACCTGCAAAAAGGTCTGGTTAACTAAGAAAATTTCTCTAACCTTTTCACTGAGAGCATTATACTTGATGCCCAGCTCATCTCTCTCCGCCCTACTTGCGGCCAACAGATCTTCAACTCGGTTCAGTTCTGTCGACAGTAGTCGGTTTTCTTCCTGCAGCTGTTGCGGTGTTGGTGTTGACATGCTGGCTAGTCTCAAACCTTTGTCATCCGATGCCAGATTCTTTGTGATGATCTCCCGAATACGTGCCGGGATCTTTGATGGACTGTCGCCTTCGCCTCGGACAGTATAATCTTCAGTGTCTTTATCCTTCAACACAGAGTCCTCGAGCCTCTGAAAAAAGAAAACAATGTGATTAATATACCGCAGGTTCAAATTATTAACACTAGATGAGCATGCTTCTTCTCTCAGAATCTACTTGGTAAGTATTCAAGACATTCTTATACGATAAAGATCATACGGTGACTTTTCAGTCTACTGGTACTCTGAGAGAGACTGCAGTTGCCCTTCTAAAGCATGAACTGGCACCCGAGTAGAAGCATAAATCTTCGTAAGCTAACTTACAAGTTTCTTCATAGTCCATGGCAGCATTCAAACCTATATAGGTATCTGAGGGGCAATGTACAGCAAAGACTTTCCTTGTAACATTATAAAAACAGCAGTGCTTACACTCATAGAATATTGTGAATGCCAGAAACTGATGTAATTGTTGAGCTTAGAATATTTGTTCTTTTTTTTTTTTGCACATAATAAACTAGAACTATCGCTGAATGCGATTCATACCCCCACCAATGTCCTTGACAGAAGACAACTTGGAAAGGTGGTTAAGGGAAAAACTTAAGTGACACAAATACATAAAAAGAAATTATCTCTGGTGAAAAAAAGACTAATTGTACAGGTAATAGTAAAAATATCTATTATCGAATCATGTTCGAAACAGTTACAAATAACCTTTCATTTTCCCAATATACTAAACTTTTTATAAGTCAATTTTTGACCTTCAAGTGTGGCCTTGACCTTCAGCTGGCACAAGGGTAAGATGGGTTCTGCACATCGCCCAATTGGAGTGAACATTTGAGTAAAGTTTGAAGAAAATCCTTCCATTAGTATAGAATTTATAGAGCGGACACAACATATTGTCTAGTATTGATTGTATGTAAATTTAAAGACTTAAAAAGGGGCATAACTTTGTCAAAATCCAATACAGAGTTATGAAACTTGACCTGCATATTGTAATTGTGACACCTCATATATCTTTTAAGTTTCAAGCAAATACCTATGCTAGTTTCCGAAATATTCAAGAACATGTTTTAATCTAAGAACATTTTCTAAGTCAATTTTTGACCTTCAAGTCTGACCTTGACCTTTAGTCTGCACAAAGGTGACATAGATTCTGCACATAACCTTGTTAAGGTGAACATTTGAGAAAAGTTTGAAGAAAATTCTTCCATTAGTATAGGATTTATAGAGCGGACACAACATATTGTCTAATATGTGATTGTATGTAAATTTGAAGATTAAAAAGGGGCATAACTTTGTTAAAATGCAATACAGAGTTATGAAACTTGACCAGCATATCTTAATTGTGACATTTCATTTATATTTTAAGTTTCAAGCAAATACCTTTCCTAGATTCAGAAATATTCAGATATATGTTAATATTAAAGAACATTTTCTAAGTCAATTTTTGACCTTCAAGTGTGACCTTGACCTGAAGCCGGCAAAAGAGTGACATGGGTTCTGCACATAACCTTGTTGAGGTGAACATTTGAGCCAAGTTTGAAGAAAATCTTTCCATAAGTGTAGGACTTACAGAGCGGACACGACATACTGTGTAATATTTGATTGTTTGATATTTGACCTTCAATTGTGACCTTGACCTTGAGCTGACACATGAGCAACATGGGTTCTGCACATCCCATTGTTGAAATGAACATTTGAGCCAAGTTTGAAGAAAATCTTTCAATTAGTGTAGGACTTACAGAGCGGACATGACATATTGTGTAATATTTGATTGTTTGATATTTGACCTTCAATTGTGGCCTTGACCTTGAGCTGACACATGGGCAACATGAGTTCTGCACATCCCCTTGTTGAGGTGAACATTTTAGCCAAGTTTGAAGAAAATCTTTCAATTATTGTAGGACCTACAGAGCGGACACGACATACTGTCTAATAAATGATTGTGTTTGATATTTGACCTTCAATTGTGACCTTGACCTTGAGCTGACACATGGGCAACATGGGTTCTGCACATCCCCTTGCTGAGGTGAACATTTGAGCCAAGTTTGAAGAAAATCCTTCAAGTGGTATAGGAGTTATAGAGCGGACACAAAATGGAGACGGACGGACGGACGGACCGACCGACCGACTGACCGACCGACCGACCGACGCGACAAAGCGAATCCATTATAGCCCCCCCCACATTTTGTGGTGGGGGTATAACTACATCAACTTAAGCTATGTCTTTAAATTAAATTTAGAGTTTTAAGAGCTAACAACAACAATAGAACTATGCCAACAGTATAAAGCCAGACTAACTGTAAAACAGATATTGCCATTTGTAAAATTTAATGCCATGCAAAGCTGGTATCCATCTTTCTTGACAAGGTTCTATATATCAACTGGTTTTCCAACTTTTATCTAAGTGTCTTTACAACTGACAGATCCAAAAGACACAAGCTGGACAAGTAAATTAATTAAATGCAGCAGGACATAATAATGCTAAATCATTAAACAATTCCTTATAAGTAAACATGTACATTCTTTTATCAAAAAGTCCCCTGCCTAAAATAATGTATTACAGGTTTACCAATAATATTAAAATCACCCCCACCTATGTCCCAAGCCTTTAAATCAGGCTATTTTTTTGACACGTGTTCATGTAAATCACCCTTGTCATAAATTAAATTTTCAATCAAAGATTACATCCAATTAATGAATGATTAGCTTGAATGTAAATCAGCTTTGGTGAACGAACCAGAAAATTGTTTACAGTGACCCGCCTAATTACCGTGCTATTATATATCTTAATGTATACTGCACCGGGTAAACAAAATCCAATATATCCAATATATATCGCCAGCTTACATCTTGATATTGAAGCTACATTTCATGCAAAAAATTTCCTCGGTATATAAATGATATGATATAGGTTTTGATTAAAATCAGAGGTATGACATTTCTTCATTAATTGTCGAAAAAGAAAATACCAGTTTAAAATTCTGCATGACCAAGTTTCAATACTAAGCATTTGTTAGTTAATAAAGAACTTAAGATTGAAGGTAAAAGATAAATTTAAGGACAATAAAACTTAGATAACAAATTTATATAATAATGTTAAGTGTAGGAAAACATCATATCATTTGATCGTTTTAAATGTCTAAATTAGCATTGACTACAAAAGAGAAATTAGCATTGACTACAAAAGGGAAATGAGCATTAATTACAAAAGAGTTCAAAATTAAAATACATAGATTTTCCTAATTTAAAAATTTGTGTGACAAATTTGGCTACATACACATTGATATACTTAGTAGTACCTATCCAGTTAATACTATGAGTGACACTGCCAAGTAATTTAAGCATCAGACTAGTAATCTGAGGATTGCTGACTGTGTGGGTTAAAACCTTGTCAGGGGCATTGCAGCAAGTCACAAGACATTTTACACTTATAACTTTGTACTGGTTGTTGCCACAATTATAACAGCTTGACTTTTTCTTCACACCAGCAAGCTAAAAATAAACTGCCATTGCAGTATAGAGCCTGGTCTCAGACTGCAAAGATGTACATGCTGATCTAGCTTTCAAGATACTGGTGGAAAAGGCCTATATCACTTCTGGTACAAGCCAGTTAAGGGTTACAATATATGTTTGTTGCTAAAATTCTGAAGCATTTCATCACACTGTTTCAAATAACTGCTGATGCAGGATTTTCTTTTCAAGTTTTCTATGGAACCAATCCAACAAATATTTTTAACCTATTCACAAACAAAGCCAGCCTGAATAATTGATACCATTTAAGTCTGGGACAATGGAACGTATTATAGGACCCGCTATAAATATTAATGCATGAAATTGCCACTCTTTGATAAGAAAAAAAGCTACAAAGAAATGTTATGATTTATACATCATTTAATTCCTGACCTGCGAAAGCTTTGAGTACTGTTTTATTGTGACATTTATAAAATGTACACATGGGACCAGTTTGATTAAATAAAAGATTCTTTTTAAAGTGAAAATGTTAACACAAAAGTAAAATAAAATATTTATGTCATCATTACAATAACGAATGTCAGCAAAAATAAAGAAACAATTAAACTAAAGAATAAACTTTCTTCTCCCAAAGGATGAAAATTGACCGCCCAAACATGTCTCTTCATTTAGTAAATGTACATTTATTTTTAAGGAAACAAGAAGACTTTCTAGAATACGGTTTAACCCAAAGTCTGAATTTCCCCATGCAACCAGTGCAGGCTGTGTAATCTGATCATGGTCTGCAATGTTTACTATTCAATTATTACTTATTTGGAAATTTTCCCTAACTATGATGAATGGTTTTGTCCAGATTAAAAGACGGACAAGTCCATTTATGATTTTTAGCTTGTTAAGGGTTAAAGCTGAATCAAAACCTATTAAACTTTATTTTGTAAAGTTATACCACTGTATGGCACTTTAGTTCAATAAAAAAAAGACAAGGTTAAAAACATTATAATTTGATATTGTCATTAATTTCCTCATTGAATAACTCTACAGTTACTGTCATATCAAATTCTTTACATTTACTTTAACTTGAAGCAAAAGTCAGACCTAGGGTAACATTTGATACAAAATTTTCGATACATCTTTAGGCGACCTTTCGTCACAACTCTATTATTAATATCAATATTTCTACCATAAAAACTGGCAGTAATTTAACTTGCGGTGAACATCTAAATGAACCCTCGTAAACATTCTTTCATAAGAATAATGTTCCCCCGTATATAGATATAACAAAAAGTCATAGTGTAACTTTTCACAACTCTAATATCCAATTTTACTTGGGCCTTAAGTGGGCAATATTTACATAGGTTTATCTCTTGTATATATCTATTGTACGAAATTCAAACTTTAATTGAATATTTTCATGAAAGGTGATGTTTACATTTCCAAAAATTTCAATTTGAACATTTTATTACTCTCCTAATAGAACTTGTATATATATATTTGCAATTTTAGACTTCACTAAAAATACTTGGGTATATAACTATTTCAAAATCTTTATAAATATACTCTGGGGAAATTGTTAACACTTAAATGTATCAAAACGGAAAAAGCATGAAATTTAGTGTATA